ATCAAGCTCTAGGGCAGTTCAAAATAGCATTATTAAGTACTTGCTGGTGTACCCGGCGTTGCCAGTGTTTATATTATGATTTAATTTTTTAGCCTTCATGTCACCCCCGGGGTACTTCGGGATTTCTTCAAAAATGTCATCCAATTTGGCCAGCTTAATCGTATATATATATTTATTTATGTATGTATGAGCTTTTTTAAAAAATTTTAATTGTTTTTAATATTAATTGTAAAAATGTTTATAGATTTTTGGGTGAGAGCTTGGAACTTTTAGACAAAAACAAGTTTATAGTTAAAGTTTACCAGAGAGTATAGAGAGTAATTCGAGTGGTTCCTATGGCACGGGAGCAGCCGTAGTACGTTTGAATTTCCGAGCCGGGTAAACCTTTCCGGTCCCAGTTTGTACTGTACCTAGCTCTATGGACAGGACTAGCTGGTGGAACAAGGTTGACGCGGTCAGACTTTATGGTTCACATAGGTTGAATTTACTTTTACCAAAGGGGCAGAGGTGAGTGATGAATCATGCAAGTGGTATCAGTAAAACTGTGGTATAGGAAGACGACTGTTAGACATAAAGATTGGATGTAAGATTGGTGATATTTCGCCTTCCTATTCCACAGTTTTAAAAACCCTACTGTGTGTTTCTTTTAGAATTCTGAACTGCCCTATAAAGCATGACTTGAGATCTGTGAAAACAAAGCAGAGGCTTACTTTCCGTAATTTTACATTTTCTACGGTTTTGCATATCTTATATACTTGTATAGATAGGATAGTAGGGAATTAATTTATTAATGGGACAGTGCGCTAACTAGTAAATTATAAAAGGGACTGTTCACTTATTACAATTTATAAAGGGGACAGTGCGCTAACTAGTAAATTATAAAAGAGACTGTTCTCTAATTACAATTTATTAATGGGGCAGTGCGCTATCTAGTAAATTATAACAGAGACTGTTCTCTAATTACAATTTATTAATGGGACAGTGCGCTATCTAGTAAATTATAAAAGGGACTGTTCTCAAATTACAATTTATAAAAGAAACTGTTCTCAAATTACAATTCAATAAAATTCACTATTTACTAATTTAAAAATGAAACATTAAATATTAACTTCCTAAAGAAACTATTTACGATATACTATTATTGACTGATTAATTAAGGAGAGTTAATTAATTACAAGTTAATGGAAGTTACATTAAGAAGTTTGTTCGTTAATTATCAATTTATAAAAAGTAATGTTCGCTTATTACTAAATGATTAGGAATAGAGTTCTTTATAAGTCAATCTAGACAGTAATAGAATGTTAAAAACTAATTTTTTGAAGAAAGAAAAGCAAAAAAAAAAAGCTTAAAAGGAAAAATAATAAAGAAGGAAAATGTTGGGAAAAAGAAATAAAAAGAAGAAAGAGGAGAGAATTATATAATCATTGTTAAATAGTTTAACATCAAAGAACATTCTTGTCTCTCCCCCCCCCCTTCATCATAACCATCTTATATTCCCCCCCTCATCCAAACTTCCTTGCATCCTAATTCCCCCTCCCTCTCCCTCCATCTTACAAATTCCCCCACTTTAACCTCCGGAGAAGCATGTAATATTAATGTACTAGCCCAACAAACATTTTGTCCGAGTATTACGTCTGGACAGGCGTTCGACATTGTCTTGTCAGTCGTCGGAACTATCGTTCCAACATTGTCCGTCGTTGGAACAGTTCCAACATTGTTCGTCATCGAAACAAACAACTAAAGTTCCAACATTGTCCGTCGTCAGAACATACAACTATAGTTCCAACATTTCCGTCATCTAAACAAACAACTATAGTTCCAACATTGTCCGTCGTCAGAACATACAACTATAGTTCCAACATTGTCCGTCGTCAGAACATACAACTATAGTTCCAACATTGTTCATTGTCGGAACAAACAACTATAATTCCAACATTTCCGTCGTTGGAACAAACAACTATAGTTCCAACATTGTCCGTCATCAGAATATACAACTAAAGTTCTGACATTATCCGTCATCGAACAAACGTCCTCTAACTTCCCCAATTGTCCTCTGAAACTCGCCTCTGGTCCTTTAAACTCCCCAATTGTCCTTTAAAACTCATGCAGCTCTGATCCTCTAAAATTAACCTCTAGTCCTCTAAACTCCCCAATTGTCCTTTAAAACTTGCCTCTGCTCCTCCAAAACTCCCTTTCAGTCCTTTAAAACTCCCCTCTCCTGCTACTGGGGTATTTTGACAAGAGCTTATCGTGTTGACAAAGAGAGATTTTAATACACAATTTTATTTCAATTCTATGAAATTATCTATCTATCTATCTATCTATCTATCTATCTATCTATCTATCTATCTATCTATCTATCTATACTTCCATTAACCTTCCATTAACCTTCCATTAAACTTCCATTAACCTTCCATTAACCTACCATATACCTTACATATTTTAATCCGAGTAACAATTTGAAAGATATCGTCGTTTTTCCATCCTGGTAAATTATTATTTCAATTTCCATTATTTTTCACACCCGAGACTAACCAGGGCGAGATGCATTCGGTTAAAAGATAAAAAGGAAATAAATTATGTTTAATTTTAATTGTAATAGGTCACAGTTCATTGGGATAAGGACTGAACCATTAAATCAGAGTGTTTTGTCAGTTAAAGCAAACCAATTCAACAAATTGAAAGTTATAAAAAATAACTAGAATATCTCCGCTACGTGTGGTCATTTTTTAAATTTTGAAGAGTACCATGAACAGAAACTTATTGGATATCGAGATCAAGTGTTCAAGATTAACGATATTCCATACCAGAGTTATCACATCTGAGTTTAAAACTTTAGAATAGAATATCCTTAATCCCGATCTGTTAATTAACCTGAGCTGAAAACTTTAGAATGGGATATGATTAATTCCGGTCGGTTAATTAATCTGGAGATTAATAACAAGAGGATAACAAGCATTATTTAATCTCGAGATTAAGAAAAAAAAGTGGATCAAGCATTAATCCCGATATCCACCATTCAAAAATTCCCAGCTCTGATCAGACATAGTGTACATCTACACATAGATTTAGCTTTCAGGGTTGACTTTGAAGTGCACTGCTAAAAACTCATGTAGGAAAATCGCACAGAAAGTGCGATATATCGCACATACTGTTATTTAATCTCACTTTCAGGGTTGACTTTGAAGTGCAGCAACGCCGTGGGCTTTGATTTTACCGATATAATCTAAACATGTACATTTTAGAACTATATAGCACTTGTTCTTAGCTTTGATTTTACAGATATAAACATGTACATTTTAGAACTATATAGCACTTGTTCTTAGCTTTGATTTTACCGATATAAACATGTACATTTTAAACTATATAGCACTTGTTCTTAGCTTTGATTTTACAGATATAAACATGTACATTTTAGAACTATATAGCGCTTGTTCTTAGCTTTGATTTTACAAATATAAACATGTACATTTTAGAACTATATAGCGCGTGTTCTTAGCTTTGATTTTATAAAAATAATAATTGGCATAATTCTCATTGACTTTTGCTTAAGAGCTTGCAACCTTTAAATTACAGTGAATATCCAGTAAGGGATGATAGATGAATTTTTTAGCTTTTTACTAATAAAGGATATAAAGACCTTACGACAGTACACACATCAAATGTGCAGTACACTTTCGGAGTACAAGTGTTTGAGAAGGTTTTGTATCTTAAAGTTTACTCAGAATCGTTTGTAAACAATAAAGAATTTCTCTGTTTTAGCACATCTCTTTGTTAAAATGTTATATTACATTTTGTAAAATAGCATTGGTTTAATGAAAAACAAATTCTATATTTAAGTCATCTGCAATCGGCATTTTGAAAAAAAAAGTTCTAAATAAATCCACATGGGAAAAAATATGTAACAATGCTATGCCTACAGATTTAATAATGTGGGAGATATAGTCGTTTGTCTAGATCAAAAGGTGTTTAGTTCTTACCATTTCCTCCATTGTTTCAAATGCATAAACTCTGTAAGTTACTTTCCAGAGAAACCATAGTTATAACAATCTATTTTCTAAGAGAAAATTATGGATATAATGCATTCCTATAATCAAACCTAGCTTTTACCTTTGTGTATCGTACATGCCTCTCTATAAACGAAAAAGATCAATTTAAATTAAATATCTACAATCCCTTAAAGTTTTTTTATTGTAAACCAATTTCTGTTTGAGCTTAAAAAATTCTTTTCAGAAAGCCCCTCACGTACAAATTGACTTTTGAAAGTGGAGTACATGGCCTGTACATTGTACAGTGTACAGTGTACAATTAGTAAAGGATTATCGTACATCATCACTCTATAGTCTATATACTATAAAACTATATTTCAGTTTTTAACTTCACATTTTTTATTAAAAAAAAATTATACTAAACACAATGTTTCACGCCATCATGACGATCCTCACTAGTTACAATTCTTTGAACACTATATATATAAAAATTTATGTAAAAATATATAGTCTATATACTAATATATAAAAATATATAGTCTATATACTATATAACTATATATAAAGATATATAGTCTATATACTATATAACTATATATAAAAATATATATAGTCTATATACTATATAACTATATATATAAAAATATATAGTCTATATACTATATAACTATATATATAAAAATATATAGTCTATATACTATATAACTATATATAAAGATATATAGTCTATATACTATATCTCGTTGGACATATCACAAAATGAATGGTGCCTTACTTACAGTCCTATTAAATTACCCTATAAATATTTTTTTTGTATGATAAACTCTTCTGTTTTCCTTTTTAAATCCTATTGGTTCTTTCATCCCATGACTATAGTGTATATCCTCTTATACAGTGGATGGTATGAATTGTATGAATTGTACCAGAAGCTGAATATACTTTCAGACAGTGGATGGTATGAATTGTATGAATTGTACCAGAAGCTGAATATGCTTTTGATGTTTTTATCAGATGCAAATCTAATAGTTTAACGCCCTCTTCCGGTGTGATCGCGCGGATTCCCTGGCCCTGTCCGCCCGGTCGGACTCCTCCGTTCGGTTCGATTTCCCGCATTTCCCGGATGATCCCTGGCATACTTTCGCGGATTTGAAATCTCGGCCTGGCGGCGGCGGAGTTGGCGGCACTAGACCCTGGCCCGTACCGACTCCAGTACTCATACGGATATACCTACATACACACTTAATAGTTTTACACCTTTAAGAACAACCTTTTCAGTGACTTTTCATGGTGATTTGACAATCTTTTCTATTAGAATAATTTAACAGTTAATTTGCATTTAATTTTTTTCAAATGTTGTTATATAAACAGATTCTGTACAAATAAAAGATAAAAGAATTGAGTCTTTGTCACAAACTCTGATTTTCGAATCACTTTTCCTTTGGAAGTAAATGTTGCTGACCTTAGATATTTCAAACTATGCATTAGATCAAATAATCTGAGTTTGAAATATCAAAGGTTTACAACATCGAGTTCTAAAGATATTGAGGTTTCAATATTTGATTATGTTCCAAAGACTCAATTCCTTTGGGTTTTTTCAATCTCCTCCTCTCACTCTCCACTGCTATATCTTCGGTCAATGTACGGCAGATTACTGCATTAACACACCGAAAGCTTAGTCGAGGGTACCTCTGGTCATCAAAAGTTTATTTGCAAATTTTGTTTAATAAAAATCTGCAAATGTGAAGCATAAAACGGTTTAACTTATAATTTGCTGTTCGGGACTACCAAAAGAATTATAAATTTAATTAATCTTATTTGCATTTTTCTATATATTTTTATTTCTTACAGTGATAAACAAAAATTCTGGAAAAGGAAGATGACTTTTTGACTCAAATTATGACTTTAAAGAGTCCAATGAAAAACATCAATTGTGCAACGCAAACAGACCAATTTCACTAAATACATGAATAAATAAGTTACTTATAGTCTATTTGATTTGTAACCGTATCAATTTCTTTTTAATTATTATCTTAATATCGTCTTCATATTCCACAGTTTTCTGGTCATCACTGTATAGTAGACATCAAACCAAGTTCGAAGTGCTTTTCATAATTTATTATTCAAAAAGGAAAAAGTAATGATTTAAGAAAAAAAACCTATTTATGGTAAAATGGGATTAAAAGTTTAAGCTAATTAAAAACTATACTCAGACACCTGATTTGCTAGACTTTTTGTGGATTTTCTCAAAGGAATTGAGTCTTTGTAACAAACTCTGATTTTCTAATACCACTATTTTTTCCACCTGATGGTGTAAACCTTTGAAATTTCAAACTTGGATTTTTTCATCTAACAGAATTCATAAATGGAAATATCTAAGGAGTACGGCATTTCATTACAAAGATATAGAGATTAGAAAATCAAAGTGACAAAGATTCAATTCCTTTCAACAAACCTCAAGACAAACTTATGAAATGATACCTGAGTGTATTTTTTTTAATGAAAGAAATGTCTGGTTTTAACGAAAATGAAAACAAAATTGGATTTAATTAAAACGTTAGTTTTAACAAAAACTAAAAAGAGATCTAACATATAACGTTTTGATATAATTTTGACACAGTTTTATGTCAATTTCTCGAGACAGGAATATCTGATAGATGTCTTATAGGTATCGTTCAACTCCTGGGATTCTCAGGTTTCAGCCAATAGACTCTTCCATTTTTCCTGTACAGTCCCTTTAAGTGCAGTTTACTTTAGTTTGAAGTGTTTATATAAAAGCTTTTTTAATCTTAATTTAGGGGGTTTGTTGGGCAGCTATAAACTGCTGGACAACATTTTTATAAAACTGAATTTTATAATATTCGGAACTTAACGAGTGAAATCATATCTTTGCAAAGAAAATATTCTCTCAGAGTTTGAATCTCCAAATCAAGTTGAGATCTTATAAGATGATATGTCCATTAATTAGCAACTTGTGCTGGTATCTTAAGAATCATAGTTTTCCCTTACCCAGGGGTAACGTGAATCGGACATGCTCAATGCCCATTGCCCATTGCTCATTGCCAATTGCCCAGGTTAAAAGGATGTCTGGAAATAACAACAAGAGTATATAAATCTGAAAATATACATTAATTTTCATATTTAACGAGAAAAAAATAACTATGCTTAAAGGGACCGTTCACTTATTTGGGTAATTTCAGGGTAAACTAAACAGCGTATTCGCTGTTGATTGGTAATAGTCTTCCTTTTCAAAGACAACTGTGGCCGGAGAAAAAGCCGATTTTTCGTTCAGAATTTTAGCGGAAAGGGACGGTCCCTCTTTATAGACCCTAAGTGAACGGTCCCTTTAAAAACTTTAAAAAAAACATATATCTACATTATTATTATTTAAACTTAGGTTATTAGACTTTTAAACATTTAATTTTTAATTTTTTGGATAATTTATAGACTATAGCAGTATCTACAACTATGCAAAGTAATTATCAAAAGTGTTTGTCAAATATATTTATGGCTTTTAAACATGAAACTTTAAAAAATAGTCCTTGTCGGGATAAAATTTAACTTAAAAACTTAAATATAATTAAAAAATCAAATGAAAGTAAAGGAACTGAGTTTTTGCCAGACCCCTATTTCAATGGAATTATGTGAGATCAATTAGACTAAGTTTTAAATAGAAAATGTTTGTGACATAATGATATAGGGGTTAGAAAACAAGAGTTTTTGAGATGCACAAAATTTTAAAATTTCAAATGTGCAACAAATTGACGAAAATAAAAAATAAAGGTTTACAAGGTTACGAAGCCGCACAAGTAATTCCCATTTAGGAATTGAGTTATAGTCACAAACTTAAATTTTCTAATTTCTAAATCTTTGCAAACTGATGACATAAGTCTTCGATATTTTAAACTATGACTTCTTTCATATCTAACTTTGAAATATCATTGCTTAAATTATTCCTATAAAACAATCAGGTTGAAAAGTTATAGGAATTAGAAAATTTGAGTTTGTGTCAAAAACTCAGTTCCTTCTACCTTCTCCTTCCTAAACAGAAGTGCATTGTATCTTGATGTTCCTTTAACTAATCGAATCAATATATCAATATGTTACTAAATCGGAAACAAGATTAGGACTTTTTTCTATAAGACCCTTATATCGTCAATTACAGATTCCGGTCGAAATATGATATTAAAAACCAATTTATTTCTAAGTAACAAAATCTGTATTATAAAGCTCTTTGTTCATTTATATGTAGGTTATACCTGGCCAAACGACTGGACCAAATTGTTTTAAATTCCACGGGCACCGCCGGCCACGTCAGCTAAAATCATAATTCAAGACCAAACGCGAGTAAAAGACGCCCGGGAGTAACCATGCTTGTTTGAATACAAAAAAAAACTAGATACTGGACTAATATTTCCCTTTTTTCTTATTTAAAATAAAACATTAAATATTTTTTTGTTCTTTTTAGAGACAATGTTGTGATAAATGCCCCAACTAACCGATTGAACAAATATTGGAAGATAGATAGATAAATACATTTCTTGGCTTAAATCGAATTGGAGAACTCCTCCAAGTAGAAAATCTGTGAAGTTAAGTGACGTGAAAATCCGTGAAAAAGATTCTGTCACGTGGCCCCGTGGATTTGTACAGAGTGTACAGTCACACAGTACACAGTGTACAGGTTGGCCGGCCTTGAACCAGCTTCAAGCTGGTCACCAGAGGTAGACATGGAGAGAAGGGATTCAAAACAATTTTAAAACAAACAAAAATATTTTTCCAGAAGCCAGAACTTGTGAATGGTTAATCACTTTAGAAAGAAATAATCTACATTTTTTATAGTTCAACGGATTAAGTTAATTCCTATAAAAGTCAGGCCAATCAGAAGCAACAATTGTTCTATCGGCCAATAAGATATCGTGAAAATACGAGTCAGCTATTTTCCATTTAATCGCTTCAAATTTTAGATTAGCGTGTTTTCAAACAAAGTTTCGACCTCGATTCCTTTTAAATAACATTTTTTCGTTTTTGTGTTTTAAAATCTCTATTTTTGAAACAATAGGACTAAAGTTTTGAAATTTTGAATGCACCCTTTACAATTGTGGTTTTCTCTTAATAACTTTAAAACCATTTAAACGAGATCGCTCAAACTTCTTCACATTTCCCATTTCATAGTTTTCAGGATAACTTTTGCAAAAAATGTTATGCAAAATTTATGCCCCCAACCTGTAAAAGACATTTTTCAATCTATATTTGACTTAAGCCATCATTAGAAATCTTTTACTTAAAAATTTCTTTTAAAAAATAGTTTTTTGAATCCAGGGGAAAATGGTCGGGATGATAGAGAGAAAGAAAACTGATCAGGCAAACTAGCAATCAATCAATCAATCAATAAATTACTTAATCAAAAAAACAATTAATCAATAAATTAATCCATCTAAAATTCCTAAACTATAGATATTAATGCAAAAAAAATCCTCCTTTTTTAAATTTGTCAATCAAACTCTAATTTTTTTTAAGTTGATATTTTTTTTAAACAGACGGAATCCATCTGAACTAGAAAAAAGAAAATGTATTAACTTCTTAGATAAAGAAATTTATTTTTCAATCTATCCCCCCCCCAAAAAAAAATTGTTTCTCAATGGTTTATTGCTCCGACAGAATTAAAAAGTTTTAAATTATTTTTTAATGATTTGATTAGATTTACTAATATTAATTCAGTTTTAGAACTAGAGGAATACGAACAGAAATTGGACATGAAAAAGAGGAATACGAACAGAAATTGGACAGGAAAAGTGGAATACGAACAGAAATTGGACAGGAAAATGGGAATATGAACAGAAATTGGACAGGAAAAAGGAAAATACAAACAGAAATTGGACAGGAAAATGGGAATATGAACAGAAATTGGACAGGAAAAAGGAAAATACAAACAGAAATTGTACAGGAAAAAGGGAAATACGAACAGAAATTGGACAGGAAAAAGTGGAATACGAACAGAAATTGGACAGGAAAATGGGAATATGAAC